AAGACATTGCGTGTGGAGTCCCAGCCTGTTGCAATTTTTCTCTTGAAACAGACCGACAAACAATTTGCCGTCATCAAGTCATTTTTGGTGTTGTCTTGTTATTACTCCACCGCTCATTATGCGCGAAGAAACGTATGGATGGTTTTTGCTGAGTCATAGGTTCTCAAAGTGCTTCATATGGGCCCCAGTGCCCCGTTAGAGAAACCTAGGGGGCCCGCCAACTATACGTTTACTTATTAAACTACTCACTCGGTTAATTTTGTCCAAAGAACAAAAAAATTGGACAACTGTAGCGCCGAAATGCGCAACAAGACGGTGGTGATTCAAGTATCATTATACGTTTCAATAGAGAATGCTATATTTCAATTATAGTTTTGTTGCCACATTTCGACACTACTTTATCAACATTTTTGTCAAGTGTCAAATTTGTGTGGCTCGATAAATAATAGTCAACCTCTTCGCGGGCTCGATAACGCCAACTTTTTTGTATATGAAGATAATGAATCTACCGTACGGGAACTATTTTTTTGATGAATGACCAATCAGAGTAACTAGTCAATTTCAATATCTGGCGCAAGCATACTTATATAGCAGTTAGCAACCCTGTTAGTACCCAGAGAGAAGGTTGCGGCGACAATCACCTTTCTGTTTCTCACATAGCACATAGCAATTTTTCGTAGCTTTGAACGCTTTTTGAACTGTCGATAACCCACGTTTGTCGGACCCTATAAATGATACGGTCTTACTTGGCAATTAAAAATGTCTCCCCCCACAAAATATCAGATAACAATATACACGGAGAGACTGCTTGTTATGGGCGTGTCCATGGATGGGGTTGAAGGTCGGAGCCACTAACACCCCCCCCCCCCCTTTTGGAATGTAAAAAAAAAAATGGGAATTATAAATAGCAACTTTAAGGCTCCCCATCTTGAAAAATCCTGGCTCGCCCCCATGCTGCTAACATATCAGTGTATGCTTGCAAAGTGCCTTGTTCGGAGTGGGTGCTAAAAAAAAAAACGTCAAAATAAAAACAAACAACAAAGACTCGGGTCAAAATTAAAAACTTCACTAACATCACTTTTGCATTATTTACAAATCTTTAAGCCTCATAATTCAGCTCGAGTTGACGTTTTCACGCACCGCAACGTATTTACGCATAGTTCACGCAGACGCACTGCTGTCATTTTGCCCCAAACAAATAAATAGCTAATCTTGCGAAATCTATAACATGCGTAACGAACTAACTTTTCTTCAATAACGCACGCACGTATTTACGTAAGGTTAACGTAAACGTTGTTGTTGACGCATTTTCGTCGTATTTTGTAATAAACAAATACAAAACGATTTACGCACCTATGCTTGGGGCAGTGCCGATTTCATACAATGCAAGAGTAAGTTCATGCAAAAATTAAATATTCGAAGTCAGAGGTCGCCCAAATTTGCTGTGTCATCGCTACCCGGCGATGTGGCAAGCATACATATATAACTATTAGCGACACAGTGGCAGGAAACTACCCAGGGAAAAGGAGGGTTAGATGCGATTGGTAATTCAAGTCCTTCCCCCTCCCACACACACACACACAAAATAAAAAAAACACACATACACACACACACACTGCCTTTGCAGCGGTCTATTAAAAGAGGCTTGCATACCGGATGCATTCCGGAGTCGGATTGTGAATTTCACCCGAGTCGGAGTCGGAACTTCATACTTTGACTATAAAAATGCTCATAAAGAACCACGTTACTTAGCGTCCTGAAGCTTTTGTAGAAAGCCCCCGACACTGATGCAAAAATGTGAGGATTGAGAAAAACACGCTCCGCCACGTTTTAAAATAATAAATTAGTTATTATTCATTTGAGGTTGGCGTTGGGAATAATTTAAAAATGTGAATTTCCAACGCAACCTGCATTCCTGACCCCAACTCTAACTGGATAATCAATAATTTTCTTTTTTTGAGTGTGAGAGGGGGGTTTGTACAAAAGACCCATTGTTATTGATAGTACATTAATGAAGACTCGCCTATGCTACAGCTTTTGCGAAAACTATGTCAAAAGAGCAATGCTCAAATGCTCTTAGACAGAGGAATAAATAAACTAATAAACCTAAATATTATATCTTTAATCCGTTATCATAGATAAGATAAGCCTTTGTTTATTTATCATTCAATATCATATACTTAAAAACCAATCGATTTGCGTCATCCCGAAAGTTTCTATTGCAGCGAAAGTGCTAACGCGAACGATTTTAGGCTACAGAAAACCAATACTGCTTTTGACCTCCAATCTATGAACGTCGTATCCAAGGGAATCAACCGTCAACCTGCGGCTCCGGAGCCGCATGTGTCTCTCTATTCTCGTCGCTTTTGGTCCCGTGAATGAAAGTGGTTGCAGCAGTTTTTTTAATATTTGACACAGTGAGGAGTCGATGAAAATGGAGGCATAAAGCTAAATACACCTCACTAATTACAGGTTCCATTACATTTGAACCCACGTACATTTGAACCCATGACATTTGCACCTGTATGCTATTGCACCTATGGAATTTTTTTTGTTTCAGGGATAGTTGAACCCATACTAACCCTAACCCATGGGTTTTAGCACCCGCATATAGATTGAACCCGTGGATATACGCACGGATTCAAATGTACATGGGTTCAAATGTACGGTCACCCTAATTACATATCACAGCGGTTTCCAAAGTAAAAGGCGTTAAAAAATTTAAATAGTCACTGACATTAGAGTAGACGTTGCTGCCCCGAGTAGATTTGAAGTTGATGGAAATGATGTCAAATGGCTCTTTCAATGCTAAAGGTTGCCAACCCGTGTCCTAGGGTGTTTCCCTTTTTGGAATATAATCTTGAGACATCATAACTTTTGTGCAAAATGCCGGCCTACAGTTACACTGAAACATTTGGGTAAACTCATACACACACAGAATTTCAAGTGTTTAATAAATTTTCTTCGTTTTAGTAGAATTAATTTAAAAAAAATAATTAAAAAAAAATTTATTGGCTTTATTTTTGAATTTTGCAAAATGCACGCAACCGGCGTAATTTTTTCTCTCTTTGTATTAAATCCTCAAGTTACAGTTTCGAAAATATGATATTATGAAGTCATAGTTAATATAAATAATCAATCGTGACATGATAATCATCTTTGGTTCAAAAATCGCGACTCTTTGTAAACAAAATTCGATCCAAGGCCCGCAGGCGAATTAAAAGGTGTAAACAACTTTTTCTGATAAATGTTTAAAAATAAGAATACCGGTACATTTTTGAAGTTATGCAACTTCGACATTTTTGGCGAAAAAACGAACATCGAAAGCCATTTTGAATGGGTATACTTTTTGAGTTATGGGCATTAACTCAGAAGTTAAAGAGACTCATCTCTGAGCAAAGTTATGGACACTCACTCAGAACTAAAGGAGACTCATCTCTGAGCAAAGTTATGGACACTCACTCAGAACTAAAGGAGACTTATCTCTGAGCAAAGTTATGGGAGCTCACTCAGAAGTAAAGGAGACTCATCTCTGAGCAAAGTTAAGGGCACTCACTCAGTAGTAAAGAAGACTCATCTTTGAGCACAAAGTTATGAGCACTCACTCAGGAATTAAGGAGACACATCTCTGAGTAAAGTTACGGGTACTCACTCAGAATTGAAGAAGGACTGCCAAACGCTATTTAGACTACGCTTATCTATATTATATCGGTGAATTACGCTATAACCAACTCCGCGCCAAATACCAAAATAACCTAATTTCATCTATCCCCGTCGAGAAATACATGTGATTGTATGGTTTATACGTATTATTTACGTTTCTATTTCGAACAATTGCGATTTCTCGTAAGGATGAACACAATTGTGACTCATAATTGGATTCAAGTCCCATTGATCGGTTTTTAACATATAAATTCGCGTATGCGCTTTTTCTTGTTTTGTTCAAATTCGCTCCTTGAAGCTTCCAGGTGGATTATGATTCACAATGAATCATTGTCAACAAATAATCGAAATAAGAAACGAACCGACTTAACCTGTTTTTACAACTCAGAACTTGTAAGTCAATGTTAATTATCCGGAAAGGTGAAATCATGATTCCGTGCACAACATAATGTAGAAAATTAAGTTGCTTGTTCGGGACGAAAGAAATAATTTCACGCTATCGTGGAATTGACAAATAACGCTTAAAACTACGAAGATTGAAACCGAAAATCTGCGCATTAACGATCGTGTCTAAGAGTGCTGCTAAGTATTTTTATTTTACGTCACCGTTCACTCATCGCTGATTAGCCATTGCTACGGAACTAAACAACGAAGCAAATATTATTTTATTTACGTGGCTATACCACTGACTTATCGATGATTGGCCATTGTAACGGAACTAAACAAGGAAGCCAATGCCTGAGGGAACATCCACGTCTAATTTATTGTTTGGATAAACCAGGAAATATATTAATTTATAACATATTAACGATCAACCAGAGCAGGGGAATGCAACCTGCGGCCCGAGGGCCAGGAAACGAGTTTTTAATTTAGTTCAATCTGGCACGGGCGAGTAATTCCAACCCTTTTGCGTTGCAAAGCCAGCGCTCCAGATGTGTGTGTACCAATATGGAGGTAACTAATTTTGTTCGCCTACTTTACATCAAGTTGAAGCCTGTGGGCAGGGGGTGTAGTCACTTGGCTAACACTAAACACTTGGCTACATACTAAATATATATACTTAAAGTGGAATACGTTTAGCACTGTATGTCTATATAAATAAATTTGGGCGCTCCATAAGAGTGTGTACCAATATGGAAGTGACTAATTTTGTTTGCCTATTTTACATCAAGTTGTGTAAAGGGACTGAAACCTATAAGCAGAGGGAATATCCACTTATCTAACACAGACAGTCCCCGAGCTCATAATAGAACTAAAAGAAGAAAAATCGAAATAAAGTTATTGCCTAACCCTAACCTGGTACACAGCACCAAAAAGTAATGGAAATAATAACATACGTTTTGAATAGCTTTTGTTTCTCAAATAAGCCACGGAAAGACGAAGAATCGAGAGTTTGTCCAACTTGTTCACAACATCCTGAGGCAGTGGGATGAGTTGCGACAATCTTTCAAGCTCTGCGTTCAAACGATCCCTGTGTCTCTTGCTGGGGTTGGATTTGGCTGGTGCAGGTGCCGGTGTTTTCCTGTGTGAAAAAGTGCAATGTTGTTATTTGTTGCATCTGTGGTTGCTCGGTGGCAAAACAAAAGTCGGGAAGCCCTGCCGTAAACCAACATTTTACGTCTCTGAACTTTGAACTCCAAACATAAAATTTAGCGCTCGCAAGCCTACTTTATTAGACGCTCAGCAGACTTGATGCTTTTTAGGTTTTTGTGGTAAATTTTTGACTTATACTCTTAGTTTCTTATACTATTTTGAATACTCCAAAGAATTCTGTCTATATTTCAAAACACGCCAATAACCGTTGCCATGACCACGACCTCGAGTTCCCAACAACAAATTACACAATATTAACGTTAAATTTACAGGTTTTGTTTAAAGTACTAACTCTTAAAGTTGTTTACGACTCGCCGTGTTTTTTCAGCTGGGGAGTGCAAACACTCATACGAGAGAAGAAAATAAACTTGAGCAAATACAGACTATTATTGTGAGGCAGATGGGACCCGCCCCCATGGTGATGTCATTGCATGATGTCATCGTTACTAGAAGTTTTATGCCCGAGGCTGTAAAAATAGAATATATTGCAAACGGAACTTTCCCACGTTGTGACGTCATTACATGATGTCGTTGATTCTAGACGTTTCATGCCTAATATTTTATTCGTTTAAGTTAAAAATATTGCCAGCGGCTCTCAATGAGATTTAATTAAATTAGGAAGGCAAAAGATTTGCAATATTTTTCTCGGAGGGCCATATAACCAGCTTCAGACATCTAGTTGAGCCACACAAAAATTTTAGCGGGAAAGGCAAGAAAAGAGAACGCGGCTATCGCTTAGCCTTACAGTAATAAATGCACCGGACAAAACGGCGAAAGATTCAACGCAGCGACAAGAGCAAAAACATTATGTATTTTTAGTTCCATGACATTTGAACCCACGCACATTGGAACCCACGACGATTGCACCTGCATACCATTACACTTATGAAATTTTTTTTTGTTTTACGAATATTTGAACCCATACTGACCCTAACCGATGGGTTTTAGCACCCGCATATAGATTGAACCCGTGGATATACGCATGGGTTCAAATGTACGTGGGTTCAAATGTACGGTCACCTGTATTTTTATCTATGCGGGTGCCTTTTAAACATAAACTGTCGGGTAAAGATTTTATGCTCGATGTAAAAAATATGAGTGCTGACAAGGGCCACACTTAGTGGCTTGGCGGGCCGGTTGTGGCCCGCGGGTCGCCTGTTGCTAAATAAGATACATATGAAACCCTGCATTGGGTCAACGATTAATTTCCAATTTTCGATTATTATCGGACATGAGCGAGTTCTCTAGCTTGTTTCAAATCGTAATTTTATTATGTTGCCTTACCGGGTGTGGTCGACATTAAACAACTTTATGAAAGAACGAAAGGAATGCTTTCAACAAACAATATAATAGTAAATGAAATAAAGATGTTTAATCTGATAAGTAATATATTATTTTATTGGAATAGCAAACAGTTTTGGGAGATTTTTGTTTGCAAATAGTAAATGGTTTTACTGGTATACTTTCTATCTATGGTAAGTAACAGTAATGAGAGAACCCAAGGACCAGGGGCGTAGCCAGAATTTTTTTTAAAGGGGGAGGGGGGGTCTGAAATTTTTTATCGTAAAGTTAGATTGAATTAGCTAGCGGGTCCGATCGAACGCTTGAATTCAGATTCAGATTTTATTTTCGTCATGCAAAACCAATATACGATATGAAAAAATAAAAAAGGCATATAACAAACTACGAAGACGGATATCGGCTTGTTGCAATAGACGAGAGATCGCGAAAGACTCAAAGAGTCATCCAGTCAGCGACACCTTGTAGCTGCATTGAAGCAGCAAATAGACACAATCATATATATAAAAGGGACAGAAAGAATGCCTTTAAGCTACTAATGCTACAATAACCATATACGCGTGTAGTTATTAGTCTTGAGGATCTAAAAAGCATTTAAAGCTACAGAAAATTGATTTTTTTTTTTTTTTACATTTTAAAAGGGGGGGGGGGTCGACCCGAAAAATTACCGCCGGGGTTGCTGTGGCTCGGAATTGACACGAAACTTAGCAGGCTTGTCCATGGAAATGGGACAGCACACATTTGTATTTCCCATGAGACACGAAAACCGTATGAATTTCGGGGAAATGATGGTAAAACATTTCGTTATGGACTTCGTGTCCATATGTTTGAGCATGGCTCTCTTGTTAGTTATAAAGAGCAAAATATATTCAGCAATAAAATTATACTTCGAGAAGGGGCTGATGGACATATGTATAATAGTTATGAATATAAAGTGAACATTAAACGATAATTTTGCTGGCGATTTCGGATCTTGCAAATAGGAAACGATTCATGAATACTCAAACTTATTTGATACTTGAACTGGTTAATAGTAAATGATTTTGTGAACATTATTTTTCTTGGTAAAAAGTAAAATTGTATATGGACGATATTGACCTGCTAAATAGGAAACAAATTTGAGTACTTGAATTAGTAAATGATGATAAATAACTTACAAAATAGTAAATGATATTAGCTTATAACAACTAAATGAAATTTAATTTGGTAAATGATCTTGCAAGCGATGTCCGAGCGTGCGAATGGTAAATGATTTTTTTGGGTGTATTTAACATGGTAAATAGTAAATGACATTGTGGAATTTACCAGGTAAATAGTATATGATTTTGTTGGCATTTGTTCTCAGGAAAATAGTAAATGGACGATATTTAGCCTGGTAAATAGTAAATGATGTAATACATTATGATAAATTTTAAAGAAAACTCGACCATATGGTGTTTTTAGAATATAAAAGACCTGGCATTGAGTTCATAGGCGATTGTAATCAAGTCATATTGATCCTTTCATTCGTTTCAGAAATGATCACGCAAAATGGTTTCTCAAAGCTAGTTCAAGCGAACTCACTCAGAAGTGAAGACTCATCTCTGAGCAAAGTTATGTATTGCTTGATGGTAAAATACAGGTCATTTCACCCAAATTTTTAATAGTGTGCGCGAGGTGCTTCCGTCTTCCGCAGAGAAAAGGAAGACACTCTATCGCATTGTGTGCTCAGTAATGTTTGTTTATGACGTCAACTAACGATTGTTGCAACATAAAGCCGTTCCGAGAAAATATTTTGAATACGGGGAAATGTTACATTGCCAAGGTCATAACAGTGTTGAGTATATAAGTTCCTAGACCATGGGTCGCCACTTAAGTGGTGATATCGTTCGTCGAAAGTCCCCGCCACTAATATAATTATATAAGATATGATAAAAACACCGCCGCCACGTTTTTAAATAACAAATTAATAATTATCCAGTTATAAGGGTTAGGATTCATTTGAAAATTTGAATTTCCAGTGTAATCAGCGTCCAAATGGATGGCAAAAATACCGATTTATCGTTTCTTTTCTTTTTAGCACTTCTAAGACAACAAATCACAGAATCATAAATTTATAATATTTTCTCGCTCTTTCTGTGTTTAAAAGTTAATATTACGAAGATTCAAATTAACCTATATCGACACTTCAAAAATTTGTGTTAAACAATATTTTTAACAGCGTAAAAAAACATATCTATGACACATAGTCCCCTTCCAAAAATCTTTTCAATGGACATTTTCTTACAATGTTATCACCATTCAGAACTGTTGTTCGAGGGAGTCCGCCTCTTTGTCAAACCAAAACCTCACATTTCACATTTCTAATTAATGAACAAAATTTTCAACTATTATTCAAGAATATGCTTCTAAGCCATCCGCTTTACTATTATTTCCGCCATAGACAATTCCAATTAAACGACATTAATATTTTGTGTTGTTCGATGGAGTCCGCCTTACTATCGTTATGACACACCTTTACCCATAAAAACACTCCGAAATTTTTTCAATTGGCATTTTTTTACAATGTATTCATTAATAAGGAATGTTGTTCGATGAAATCCACCTCTTTGTCAAACCGAAACCGCACATTAAAATACTTCCTGTATCAGCAGCAGTTAAAAACGGTTATCGGAAATGTTCTGTGGTTTTCGAACAGTTGGATATATTTGTGTATGAAAGGATCTTACCGTTTTTTGTCGGTATTTAATAGAAACAAAATATTTAACCGCGAATGTCTTTGCAAGTATTTTTTGAGCGTTTAAGATATTTTTTATAGACTTCATTTTACACCGGCGCCCCCCGTTATCGTAACCAGGAAATTTTAAATTTGCGGTGGGCGTGAGTTCTCAGTAGTCTTGATGTCTTAAAAGCGTTTAAAGCTACGAAAAATTGCTATGTTTGATACAGAAAACTTTTTAAAACGGTGGTCCTACCCCCAATGGATACGTACCTGCCGTTACCTTTCGGAAACGTACCTCTAGTAAAGCAATGTTATGTTATCTATGAGCATTTTTAGCTTTATATTATTGTTTGAATAAGAATTTTATTATTTAGTATCCTCACAATTCAAAGCATGTAAAAACAGACACAGATATGTAAGGAACAACTAAATCTTGGGGCCAGGGGCAGGAAGAGGGAAGGGGCGTGCAAAACTTTACAGCTGCGAGAGTTCCTGATAATGATGCCCTTCATACCTAACTTCAAAAATAATTTGAGGATAATAAGGGCGGCTGCCACTATGGTTTCCCTCCTCAAAGTTCAGCATTGCCTACCAAGTTTATTATACTTTGGGGGACGTTTTATTTCATTTTATATAAATATACCGGTAAGAGGTGCGACATCTACTCAGCTTCCCCTACGTAATCCTAACAAAGTAATATCATATTACCCGAAAATCGCCCCACGTAACATACAGTACATTAGTCAGGGTTAGAAATTACTTTAATATAAGGTTATATTTCAATGGTTTTATTTAACAATGTGACCTAGTTTCATCCAAGCGGAAAAAATACGGCGAAAACAAATGACCACCTTGTTCAGTGTTCCCTATGAATTTCAGGATTAAAAGGATTTTGGTGAGAGAAAAGTTGATTTGGCGGGTCAACTCCG